TTAAATGATAGATTTCTTATCTTCGTGTATTTTTAATTAGCTTAGGTCTTGCAAACTAATCATTTAACATACTGGTTTAGCATACCATTAGTGGATTAGCCTGTTAGCTTAGTCTACAGTATCACCAATCAAACAAATCTGGTCCACAATGCACTAAATTAACTGAATCTTTGCATAGGCCATAGATTAAGATATCAGAATAATCAACTAACGGACCAAAAATAGGTCTATTGTCTTTTGTAAACAGTGTAGGGACAGTGGCGTAGCACAAAATCGCGGGGCCCCCCCCCCCGCGAACTGCAAGTCCTAGGCCCCCCTCCGGGGGGTGGGGGGTTTGGGGTTTGTTACATCGCAATATTGGAAATATTTCTGTTTTAAACCATGAAAGCTGATATTAAGCAATGTGCAAACTTTGCGCAAGAGTTATGCCGGTGAACGTTTTAACCTTAGTCAATTATACAAAAAGTCAATTATACAAATACAAATACAAATACAAAAAGTACAAACTAACGGTGCTTTCGGCATCTGACGCTGCATTAACAGCACATATTCTCTCAGAGACAACAAGAGACAAATCTACTTCAACATATGCTGATAACGGCATATAACTCTAATTATTCTTTAATATTTCTCTTGTGGCCCGTACATAGTGAAAAAAAAACATGAGAAATGTTTTTTGTGTTAAACAGGTTGTTTTTGAAAGTCGGTGCTTGAAATAAAGCTGCTCTTAATTTTAATTGATGACTGCAGTGTTAATAATTTTAATTACAGGCCTATAATTCATTGTATAAATGAATAGACCCATTTTAAAATACCTTTTTAAAAACATTTTCAATGAAGAGTAAGCTAATAGCCTAATCTTTTATTATCCTCACAGCACGTCAGTTATGCGGTGATGTGCTATGAAATTATTGCGGGGAAAATTAATTGTAATTTAATAATAAAAGTAACCTAATAATAATAACATGCCTAATAATAAGAAGAATGTAACAGGCCTACATTAATTTCGCCTCACGTAAAATTCCTAATCGAGGGGAATCCTATTGAAATAACAATAAAAATAAGTGTGACCGCATTTTGATGTTATGCTAAGCTACTATGTTTTATACATACGTTTTTGTTTGATCAGGCATTACAAACAGCGGACTGAACTGAGTGGATGGACCAAATTGTTCGTGACACCATCATAAGTGTTGCGCTTTTGCGACAAAGTGTCAAGTCTTTGGCCTGTTATACTCCATCTAGCTGTTTTGAAAGCAAAATTGTATCTTATGTATTGTAAACACTCCCTACGAAATATGTTAAACTGGAGTGACACTTCCTCAAGACCACTGACTAGCCAATTTTGATCATCTATAATTTTGCTGCTACAGAAGATGTTTGTGCTTGAGACATCACAGATTTAATAAAGATATCCTACCCGCTCTGGTCTTCGTGACTGTACTGTAATAACCTGATGGGAAGTCGCTGATGCTCACAATTTTCTCAACTCTCTAATGACACATAATGGCTTTGGATAACTGCTGCCAGCACTGTCATTTAGTGGCAACTGGGAGACTTCCTCGAGAGTTCCTCAAAGAAGGAAACAGATAGCATCCTCAGAGGAGGGAAAAAAAGCAATGATGCTCTTAGCACAGTGGCAACAAAAGTGGCAATGAAACTGAGCATTGAAAGACCAGAGGTCAAAGTCTTCTATATGGAACTGATGTATCGTGCGGCCCACTGGAGTTACAGTTAATCTATAAAGTGCCATAAATTCAGGACCCCGTCAACGGTCTGTAGTCCTGCTAATGGTCTGGGTGCCCATTACCGTCAATCCTCCATCAAAGCATTCCCCTTAGCCTCACACCTACATCTCTGCACATGAAGGGTTCAAGGTCTCTCAGATTTTTTTAATCGTTGCCCCTCATCAGAACAGCTTCATCAATGATCTCACAAAACCACGAGCCATACCTCTCGCGCCCAGATTCACAAAATAATTGCTCTAATTTCAAGCGATACCAGCCTGTGTTTGCTTTGCTAAGCTGTGAACACCTGCCTGATCTCAGGGCTGTTATTCGGCCAGATATAAACTGTGCTCACTCCTATAAATAGCACGGCCTGTGAGACTTGTTCAGGGACCAGCCATCCATTCCCCAGAAGCAACTGTGGCCCACACTCAACACAACATTCAATTGCTAACACACGAGAGAAAAGCAAAAACAGACATGAAAAAAAATGTAGGGATGCACGATATATCAGTACCATATCGGTTATCGGACAATATTAGAGATTTTTTTTTATTTGTCTGTAAATAAATTGGATATATTTTAGCCAATATTTAATTGTACATGCTTTTATTTTATTTTTTACATTTAGTCAGGACTCCAGCAAGAAATGATCATGATTAACTGAATTCAATTTACATTAAATTATAATATAATTTTCAAAAAATTGTATAGATTTTTTTTATAGACAACATTTTATTTTTATACTATCAGCATTATTGTTATTGTTAACTACAACTAGAAATCTGTAGCTGAAATCAAGCTGAAACAAAATAAAATAAATAAATATCAGATGAAAATCTTCAAAGTATTGCCTTGGCAACTAACTAAAATAATTTTAAGTTAAAATACTGAAATTACTCAATTGAAACTGAAATCAAAATAAAATGGAATATAAAGGTAAAATAAAGCTTTAAATAAAATTAAATTAAATTAAAAAGCTAAATGGAAATATGTAAAAAAAAATATATAAAAATGACAAAAGCACAACATAATTACTAAAATTACAATATTAAAAATGAAAACTGAAAATATAAAAATAACAAATCAAAATCTTAATAAATACTTCAACAGTATTAAATAATATTAAAAGAACACTGACTATCATAATCAAAATTAGAATTTAAAAAATAAACAATAACAAATAAAACAAGAAATGCAAGTCCTTTCATTTAACACTCACTTTAAGTTCATCTTTAAACACAATTTTAATTAAATAAAATGTTAAGACACTGTTAAATGTAATATTTAGCTAATCTAATCTGTTCATGCTGTACATTATAGTGTTGTGATGCCCAAAATTCACTTGTAGGATTTAAAACTATTACATGCATTTTTAGTGTGAATTCATATTTTTATAGCATCTAATTTTATTGGCTATCACATTTAAAATAATAATAATAATAATATCGGTGCATCCCTATGAAAATAGGCTGAAAATATGATCAGAACAAATACTTTAACATCAAGTTGTCAAAAAAAAAGCTGAGAGGGGATCAGGTCTGGCCTTTGTGAAGGTCAGTTGAATTTTTCCACAGACTCAGTAAAGTGTTTCTGTATGCACCTCGCTTCAAGCACAGCGGTATTGTCGTGCTGGAACCGCCGCAACGGCTTGAATCCGTCTACAACTGAAGGCACCGAAGCGGCACGTCTTCTCTGGATGTTCACTTACACAGACAGTCAGCCACAGCACTCGATACTAGACTTCAGCAACGGTAAGGTGGGAAAATCACCAGCTATCTTACTTTATTTACTGTGCCAATAGCTGTATAGTTACCTGGCTAGTGAGTTTGAAAGCCTTGTATTTACTGGACCTGAGAGAGTCAACAAACCGCTGCCATTCACCAGCAGAATATTCCCACCTCTGCATTATTATTTTAAAATGGTGCATTTAATTCATCTGCATTCATACTGATTTCTATAGTGGCTCTGGCTCATTATTCTGCAGGTGCTGGTTTGGTTGATCAGCCTCATGGGCTGAAATGCTCACCGTTCTGAGCACTCCGTTAAATCCTGTGCTTTCCCAAATAAGCAGCTTAGGAGAAAACCTTTTTACTTTTATCTAATGGGAATAATTATGACAATAATGTCATTTTAATGGATGTGGATAAACCATGCAATATCCCAACTGTTTAGTATGGAAGCTTGTTTCCAGTATGGAATTAAAGTAAATAAATAAATAAAATAAAAAAGGTACTTGCTTTTCATCTCACAATTCTGAGTTTATATCTCACAATTTAGATTTTTTTGTTCTTGGAATTCTGAGTTTAAATATTGCTTTTTTTGCAGCTTTTTATCTCACATTTCTGACTTTTTTTACCCCAACAATTTCAACTTTATATCTAACAATATAACTTTTATTTCTCAGAATTCCGAGTATAAATCTTGCTTCTTTTTTTTTTGTTCTGCCAAAAAATAAATAAATAAAAATTATATTTGTATATATTTTATATATATATATATATATATATATATATATATATATGTGTGTGTGATATATATATATATATATG